AGGAAACAGATACAACCAGAATGACTGCACTATGCAACTGCCTTACAAAACAGGAGAGGAAACAAACACAGGTTTAATTGCCCACTGCACTGAAACTGCTTTATCCTGCATAACCTCATTATTTCTAGAAAATTTGGCCCGGGCCATATGGTGGGAGGTGAGGTGGGAAATTTCCCACTGCAGCAGCAGCCTGCCAGGTGGGGTTATTACACCCAGAGGTGAGAGTACCTCTGCACAAAGCTCTCCCCAGAACCTTGGAGGTGAGGTGCAGCCCTGAGCCTGTCCCCCCCAGGGCCCTCACAGCCAGGCTCTGAGTGCAGTGGGGAAGGGGCAGTTGGGGCTGCACTGCTGGGAGGGTTCTTCAGTGTCACCTTCGACTCTCCCCAGCCTTTCCTGGGTGCTGGGCAGCTCAGTTGCTTGGCCAGAGCAGTTTCCTTCCCCTGATTTCGAAATTAAAAGCCACCATAAGCCGTTGCAGCGTGTTTATAGCATCCAGCATTTTCCCATCTGGCCCTCCTCAAGCTGCTCATCCCATTCAGAACACAGAAAGAACGACAAGGAAAATGTAGTGGGAGTACACGAAATGGCAAACCTGCCTGGGGCCCTGAATGGGAGCAAACAGCACGAGGGCACGTTGTGCACAAGCCCAGGGACGTGTAGTGAGGTTAATTGCTCTGCCCAGTTTTAGTCCATCCTGCTCCAGAGAGGGAATTCACTTTCCTGGCCGTGGGGAAACAAAGCAGGCCAGTTTGTGGGAAAGAAAAGCCTGTTCCTTTAATCTGCCTGAAAGCTTTTGGTACATCAAAGTCCTGGCAAGAAGAGATGTCGCTGATATAATTGGTGTGGGCAATTGCAGAGGTTTTAATAAAGACCTCTGTGAAAGAGTTATTCATGGGAGGGAAAGAAGGGTCATGGGTTGGGCAGGAGCTAAGAAACCAAAACCCCCCCAGCAGGATGAGGGCTGAGGAAATGTCACACAGCTCTGTATCCCACCCAGTGCCCTCCAACAGCAAAGCCTGTCCAGTGCTGATGAGGAATTGCCAGGGGCACTATCAAAGCCAGGGGAACAGACCAGAGTGGGGGAGGATCATCCCCCCTCATGGACACAGCCTGGGTAAGGCTCCTTGGGAGGAAGGGGATGATGGTTGTGAAAACCAGGTAAGTCCAGATCAGCTGCCACCTCCTGAAGAGAAAACCCAGCTCAGGCCACGGGCAGCTCACCACAGTGCTTCACTGCAGGCTGCAAATATATATGATCCCAAAAACTCCTAAAGAAATGAAGATACAGGATAAAGATCAGGGGAGAAAGTAGCAGGGAACTGTCCAAATGCTCGGACAGGAAGAAAGAGGAGGTCCTCTTCTGGCATTGCTGTCTCTCACCAGCTTCCAAATGACACATCAAAAAGAGACAAGGGGAAAGTTTCTGAGATGGGAAAGTAAGAGAGTTAGAAATAGAGTCTAGCTAGAATTGAAATGATTTTAATTTCCAGGTGAAGTGAGTAAAAAGTAACATAATGGCAGAATACAAAATAACAAACAGCACAAAGAAGGTACATATAAGTACTCCTATTTTCACTTTTCACATAAAAAGAGAACAAAGGGACAGTCAATAAAGCTGAGCAGCAGCACATGTACGAGGATAAGCAAAATGCTGTTGTTCTAATGCACTGTGCATAATCATCCAGGGAGCTCCCTGTTCCAGCACAGCACTAAAATCACAGATGCAGAGAGACTTGCAAGAAAGGGACAGGAATGTACCTGAAAGGAAAGACCATTTGCAGTTAAACTCCCTGTATGTGAGTTACATGAGCAGTGAGCAATAATATGGGTTTTAAGAGAGAAATTACATACAAACAGCAATAAATGGGAGGGGGGCAGAGATCCCCGATGGCAGATTACTCCAAAAATTTCCTTCCGAGGGATGTCTTGTTCCTCCTTCCTCTGAAGCTTTTATGTTGACTACTGGCAGCAACTGGTGTTTGGAGAAGACAAACTGCTTCTCATCCCCTGTGTCTCCCTCCTGCAGCAAGACCAGAGCACCTTCCCCTCTGCCCTGTGTCCATGTGTCACTCTGAGGGGTTCTTTTCACCCTTCCTCCCTGCAGCCACCTCCCCAGTGAAGGAGCTGGGCCAGCATGCTGCTCCCACCAGCCCCATTCTCTGCAGGGACCTCACTGAAGGCTCTGCCTTCAGGGGCTACCAGAGAGCACCATGTGAAAGCCTAAAGCTGGTTCCCCAGGCTGGGGTGCAGCTGCCCTGGGTGGGGCTGCCTGGGGACAGGCAGCTGCCTGGGTGGGTGCTGAGTCCCAGCCTGCTCCTTCCTTCTAGCCAAGGAACATTTCACATCCTTGGCCATATGTGACTGAGGGAGGTATAAATAATCCTGTCTTCTCTTTTTTTTTCCCCATTGACGTGCAGTGATATCTCCCCTATTCATCGCTGAAAGGAACCAAAATTAATCTCAGGAACAATTCTGCCTGGTGATGGGAATGCACTCATTGCTGACACACATCAGCACCTTCCTTTGGGAGCTCCATGATCCTTGAGAGTCCCTTCCAGCCCGGCATGTTCTGTGATTCTGGACAGATCCCAGTGAAGGTCAGCAACAGGGAGGTGGGACAGGAAATTACTTGGGAGAGCACCCCAGAATTTAGATAGAGCTGACAACTGCCAAACCGAGTTTGTGGAAACCTTCCTCTTCATGGCCTCCCTCACCTGAGGTAGATCAGAAGCCCAGGTCTTTCTGTGCCCACAAAGTTAAAATAAAACCAGACACTTTGCCCTGATCTCCCTCTCCGTGAGGTTTTGTCCTTACACTCAGAGTATGAACCATCCTTCTTCCCCCAGCTGCCATCCATGCCCAAAGGATGGCATCCCATTTCCCAGCCTCTGCACAGCTCCTCTGCAGCACTCCCTCATGGCATCCCAGGCACATCTGCCACGGTCTCCCACCAAAACACAGCAGTTACAGGCAGTGGTTGCTGCTTTCCCCTCCCTCTGTAACCCCAAACTCCACCTTGCTCCCCTCTGCAGGAGGTGTGGTAGCAGGGAACTGGCACACAGAGCAGGGCACCCTCTGCCCATCGTCCCCAGCCCCTCTGCCAGCTGATCCCCCTCTGCCAAAACCATCAATACCTCAATACCACCATTGTCCTTTAATATCTCACAGCCTTTAATATCCCCACCCCTGGAGAACATGGCAGTCTTTCTGACACGGAGCTGGATATTAAGAGACCTTGTTTTTTGTTGTGTGGTATTGTTTTGGTTTGTTGGGGTTTTTTTAAGACTTTATTTGTCTAACATGCTTGACCAAAAATTACAACAACATTCAAGTTATGCCAAAATGATTAAATAATCTTTAAGCTTTCATACCTCAAGTACTTTAAATGATATTCTGAAGTAACAGCTGCTTTCATATCCTTTCCACATAAAAATACACAGTATTTGGAAGATACCTTAGGAAAAAATTATTTTTAAGAGAATAGTTTATGGTCCACATAGAAATGTTGCTGAGGCCAATAAAAGGACCTCTTCCCCCCACTTTAACATTTTAGTCTCTTAAGTGCCATGAGCGAATGTAAACATTTCAGACTTTAACATACAGCCAATTTCCTGCCACATTTGTTGCAAACTGCTTGAATTGTGACTAGCCAAGACACTTTTATTCTAACTACAGTGCTATTGTTCATCTTCCCAGTGATGGCAGGAGTTCATATTCGACTATGAATTTCAGTTCTTGCTGATTTAGGAGTTGATCTGTAATTTCTACACCAGCAGCTCTGACAAAAGTGGCCCCCTCTGAATTCACGGCAGGCTGCTCATGGGAACCACTCACCCAAAAACCACTTGCAGGCGTGTGACAAGGCGTCAAAGACTGTTTTGGGTTTCGTTTTCAGGAAAAAGCAGCACATCAGTTTAGACACAAGGTCACCCAACAGGTTACAAAGAATGACAGACCTGTGACTTGTCATGTTTTCTGGGGGTCTGGTGGCTTCTTGTGGGTCCAAGGTAGTGACTGGGCTGGAATATCTCGGCTCCCAGCAGCTGATGGAAGAGCTGCTGCCCATGGGGAACCAGCAAAAAGCAGTGTTTCTGCCCACCTGGCTCAGAGGTGCAGCTGACACAGCCTGGTTTTGCCACACAGGTATTTTAAATTGTGCATGTGTGTCATGTACTTGCAGCTGCCACGTGAAGCTCACATTTACATCCACATATTGGGCAAAAAGTCACACACACAATTATCCAGTGCATGAGTGCAGAGGTGGGCCAGGCACAGACCTGCAGACAGCTCTGAACTGGCACTGCTGAGCTCTGCCCAACCTCTGTGAACAAGATTAACATCTAGATGCCATCAGCCCCAAACTGAGGATGTCCACGTTCAGAATACAGCAGCTGAACAACCTCCATCGAGGCAAAAGGAGATGTTGGTTAGTCCAAGGCAGAAATCCATGTCTTTCTTTTGGTGGGTTCCAATCAATTCTTAAGCTTCTGCCTAGGACAGGAGTGAAACCCCAGCAGCTTCAACACCCCTGTAGGAGAGCTGCATGGGCAGTGCCACTGTGGGCCACCCCAACCAGCTCGTGGCACATCCCCTGCTCTGCCTGGTGGCACCTACAGCACCACGAGTGGCTTTCAGGTTGTCCTGGGCCTCTCTCAGCACTGTCCATGAGTGGGCAAACAGCAGCCCCAGGGGAGGTGCCCTCTGCTCTGTGCCCATCAGTGTGTACTCGTCACAGCTCTCCAGAAGTGAATCCCCAAACCCCACCTTGGGATGGTGCCTTCCCCCAGAGCATCCACCATGTTCCCCAGGGACAAAACGATCACAATGACATTTAACCCCTCCTGATCAGGGCCAGACTCAAACCAGTCATCTCAGCATTGGCTGCACGTCCCATTAGCAGGTTTTAAACCCAGGGTCCCCGTGGGTTTTATTTAAAACACCGTTACTGATCGTTGGGTGGGTTTTTTGTGTTTTTTCTCTTTTTTTGTTTTCTTTTTTTTTTAAATACAGTCATGGATCTCTTTACCATATGAAAACACAGTTATATATTTTTCTTCTTTGTTTTTTTTTTTCCTTTTTTCTTTAGGGAAATGTCATCCTTTTTTTTTTACAGGTTACAAATTCCTGAGTTTATACTGCACTTAACACAGTCTCCCTTCTTGAATGTTGAGCTGTTTACAGCATGCTGGCAATATGCACCATTTCCCTTACCATCTGTAATGCCAGATGTAGTAAAACTTCCATTTCAGTACAGTGAATTAGGGCCTCTATTGCATTGGTTTTGAATAGATGCAAAGACTTAGACCTGGAGGACTTGGAGTAATAGCTTTCCTCCAGTGACTGGTCATTTGTGCAGCATCTTTTATATTTGCCACGTTAATTAAGGGAAAACATCTTCACCATAATTTTTCTTTTACTAAGAGCTCACTGGGAAACATCTGAAATGAGGGAATCCTAGTCTAAACACTGAAGTTTAAACTGCAAACTTTCTTAAAGAAACACTCCTTTGAAAGACATTGTTCTTTTAATAAGTCCAATACACGGTATATACAAAAGCCCCTACTAGATATATATATATGTGTATGTATATATATATATATATTTATATGTGGAATGCATTCACTTTTCTGTGTTCACAAATATTTTAATGGTGAAATGTTAAGTCTTTAATCTGTTTCTGGCACCAAAATGTCTTTGTTCCTCATCCACTTTTGTTACTCGAAATTTATCTGTGAAGAGCTAGCAGGGAAAAAAAGAAGGATTTTGCTTTTTTTTTGTTTGTTTTTGTTGAATGGTTCCCTATTGGGATTCTCAGCCAGCAATATAAAGTTGCTAATGTGTTGGGTACAACTTTAAATCCTCGTTATAATCATGTGTTCCTTGGAGTAGGTAAGTCAATAACTATAGGTGGATTAAGTGGCTGGTAATTCACAGTGCACACAGATGCATTCACATAGGTAGTGGTTCCATCAGCCATGACACCATAACCTACAAAGTAAGAAAAACTCTGGTTACTCTCATTATTCATTATTACCTTCTTCATTTTTCAACTATTCACCTTTACCACACAATGGTAAGTGCCACATTTATCACTCAGAAGGAATTTAAAAATTCTCTTGGTCCCCTGGAAAAACCCATCTTTGTCCTACAGAACTTTTTGCCATCTTTTAAATTGTGTAAGAAAAACAAAACAGCCCCTCACTAACTAGTGGCAATAATCTCTGGCAGCCAGCTCACCAAACCTCCTTAGAAAGAGAGAGACTTTTCTCTGCAAAGCTTTCTTTCTTAAAACCATTTTAGTTTTGGGAAGGATAAGAAGATAGATCTTAGGCATTGAAAAAAAAAGTCCTTCTGATCATTTAGGTTTCCAGTCGTCAGTGCAGCAACCTTTGGGCAATTTTAATCTTTCCACCTTTCTTTCCTGCCCAGTGTTGAACATAATTCAAGCAAACAATGAAGAAAAAGCGTTGCTTGGCTCAAGGGAAGTGTGTGAGCATGTGCAGCTGGGCAGGATTTGTCTATAGCAGCAACTCCTTCTTCCTGTGTGTTTGAAGTTGTTAACCAATTTCCATCAAATTTGATGGAAAGACACTAAAATTCCTGCCCAGGGAGAAAAAAAAATGGTTTTATTAATGCATTCTCTAACAGACAAGGTGAATTCATAATCCAAGACACCATAACATTTCCACACACAGTGGTGGAACAGCTTCAACCACATCTCATGTCTGGCCAGACACCCAAGTCAAACAATTCCAGAGCTAAATATGCAGAAAATCAAACTTCCAGCCCTAATGCCTGCAGAAATACTGTGAAATGCTGTTTCGGAAAGTGAAGAAGAAGCCCTTCAACAGCCCTGGTGTTTTGAGAAAGCAAAAGCTCTCCATTGTAAAAAATCTTTTAATGAATGACCAGGAAGAAACATAAGCTTGATTACACTAAAACTAAAAGCTGGACGTTGGAAACTTCCATTGAAGTATTTTGATCAATATGAAAAATTCACAATCAGAAATATAGGATTTGGGAGGAATCACTTGATAGAAAGCGTTTGCATTAAAATTCAATCTCATTGTTAGTGAAGTTCCTAGGGAAATGTATTTGTCATTACATACACTGAGATCCAGCTATTCAAATCCCAGGTACCTGGGACCCTGTGGTTTTTTCTGAGTGCAATTTTGTGTCTTACAGAATCATTGGCAGTTGCATCATTTGCAAACAAAGAAACAGTAGCCAAAAGCCTTTTTTTGTGTCTGTGTGTTCCTTAAAATACCCTGAATAATGCAGGGCCTCCTAGACTCTCCATGGAAAAACCACACTATAATTAGGGACTAGGGAGGGAAGAAAACTCCGTCAGGTTCCTGTCACAGACATTTCTTTAAGCCAGTTTCTGTTTGCCACAGAAGAATTGGTCTGTGCAAAACACAGATTGAGCGTTGCTGCTGGGACTTTGTGTCTTCTTGGCTACTCATTTGAAGATTTGCTGGAAGATTCCTAATGCTGTGGCTTTCACTCCTGTCCTACTGCCAGCAGAGTTTCCTTGGCCATGACCTCAGCCAAGGATTGGTTGTGATGGGAAAACCAGGATTTTAGTCCCTGCCATGCTGCTTGTCACTTCCATGGGTGCATCAGCAGGAAACCCATGTGCAGAGGTGTTTTCTTGGCAGACACGGCAGTGCAGAGGGGGGAATAGGGATGAAACATCTCTTCTAAGCATCCCTTCCCCCCAGATGTTCAGTAAATGACTGCTGCAGATGTAGCTTTGCTCACTCAGAGGAAGAACTCATCTGTTCAAATCATGAATTCTCTCTACAAAGTACAGCTTCGTTTGCACAGGCTGCCTGCAAAGGGAATTCTCCTCTGCAGAGACTCAGCATCCCACTGCAAAACAGGCTATGCAGTTCTTGTTTTCTCTAAATTGTGATGGTTAACAAGAAGAATACCTTGTTTCTGTGCTTCAACACCTACTGTGCCAACTACATTATTTCATGAGTTTTCCCATTCTAGGGAGGTGCCATTCTCTTCCCTTGAGAGCAAAGCTGGGCTTGGTTTTAGCAGATGTGATTTTGTTTACCTGCCTGAAGCTTCATGGCTTGCTGTTTGCTTGGATCCCCTGCAACCCACTTGGCTCACAATTTCTGAAATAGTGATGAGTTTGAACTGTATTCACCAGCTCTTCTGGTTGGAATATCAAAGATGCTCTAACAGCATCATTTGTTTACTCTGTGATTTAGCAGCACTTAGGACATTAACCAGGCATTAACAGAACACCACAGAGGAGAATGGACCTAATCCCTGAGCTGTAAAACAATGATCTGAACATCTTCTCCACCAATTTTACACCAGCACACCCTCTCAGCAATGTCCCCTCTAACATGGGGTGAAAGCCCCCAGCAGCAAGCCAGGATGGCATTTCTTGGGAAGGACAATATTTCTTCTCAAAACCAGGATGCCAGCTACTCCAGTTTTTCCATTTCTGCCCTGGTGAGACCTACAGAGATCCTACATCCAAGGCTGGAGCAGGCCCAGGAGCAGAAATCTGGCAGTAGGGCAGTACCTTCTCCTGCCAGTAAGTTAATATTGCCAAGGACTGAGCAGCTGATAATAAACACTTACATGCCAACGGGTTACCTTTTGCACAGCCCAGTGGTTTCTTCTGGGGGCACTGCTTGAAATCCTTGATATGTGAACAGGGCAGACAGCATCTACCTCTCCCTTTGCCTGGAGATGCACTCCTGCTGTCACCAACTTCAGCAGAGCATTTTTGGCACCATTTACCTACTTATGTGAAGGGAACTCATCTTTTTTCCAGCTAAATATCAAACAGTCAAGAGAACTGCTTTGTTTCATTTGGGAACCAAATGTTTCCCCTGCCAAAGCAGCTAAATGCATCAATAAATATCTTGGAACTCCTACACAAGGCAGTGGTGACATCCCTCTTGATTCCAACTTCATATATGCACTTTATTGTACAATCTTGAAGCTTAAGCCTTACAAGCACCTCTCAAAGCATTCCTACCCATTTTAGAAACACAGAAACTGCAACCTAGAGAGCTTACATGAATTATCTTAAATCACAGATTCAGCTGAGGAAAATGCAATCCATCAGTCCTAATATTTAGTAACTACTGGGCTTGAGTTCTTATTTTAAAATTCACAGTAATCCTCCCCGTGAAGGAAGGATCACCCTGCTTCATAGATGCACAAACTGAAAGAGAAGCTGAAGTACAAATATTGAAATGTGGGTATCAGCCAAGATGCAGCTAAATATGTATCTGAATTCTAGAAGTTCAGACATTCGAGTTTGAAAATGCTACTCAAACCTTCTGTGTTGGTGGTTTCTAAACATACATAGAAAGAAATGTGTTCTGACCTTCATGGATATGTCCAAAAACATGAAGCCTTGGCTGTATTCGTCTCTGGACCGTGTTCAGCAGCTCGACACATCCTACCCGTTGCATTTTCTTAGGAACCCAGTCTAGAAAACCTTTGGAAAAGAATGGAAAGCTTTAAAAGGAGACAGGTAATCTGCATTTCTGAGATTTCATGGCTTTTCACAAGCAGACCCAGAAGAACTGACATGGAAAAAACTGTGTTGGTAAACAGAAGAGGAAGGAAGGAAAAATACCCAAGGAAAACCATAAAAGCTCATCTGGATAAAATGAACTAGGATAATTCTTACAAGTTGTTTTTCAAGGAATTAAAAAAAAAATCACTGCAATTCAAGCATTTTTTGCACTGCTGCAAATGGGAAAACTCAATGTTTTACTCATTTTTCTTCCTCGAAGAGGGTGAGGTGTAAGAGCAGTGAGTCCAAAGTGAGTCTCCAGAAAACCTAAATGAACATTTAGCTGTTTAAATCTAGTCCTGGGATCCGCTTTTTTTAAATGGAACACCTTGACTGATGTAATGGAATCTGTGTTAATTAAAAATGGAATCTGTGTTAATAAAACTACATCACATTGAATCCCAGAGTAGTGGAACTCAGGTGAGGAACCTTCTGTGTGCCCAAAAAATAACACCCTCAGGCAAAACTGGTTTAACCAATTCATGGCACAGCAAGCCCCACTTGCCTAAACTCATGGACAGGAAGAGAAACTCAGGCCTTTTGCAGCAGATGTATTTAAGTGCTATATTTACTTGCACAAAGATTGGGTGAAAAATGTGTGTTTCGTATGAATACAGACAGAAATGTTACACCAACTTGCCTCTTTGTCTAAAAATACTGCAGGGGGATGTTTACTGCCAACTGAAGTCTCATGTTTTCCTTCAAAGTAGTACTATAAGAGGGATGTTGTTGTATTAGAGGGTTTGCAATAACCAATCTGATTTCTTTCTATTGTTCTGCCACTGTCACCGGGCTCAAATTTGGAAACCTAAAAAGATAAAATCTTCCTGGTTTTATTCTGTCGTTCTGGCATTTTCCCTGTGTGCCTGTCACAGCTTTGTGTCTCCTGCATTGCTGCAGTCCTGTGAATATATTGTGCCTTTAGCCCAGAGTTACAGAGCCTGGACCTGGTTTTCACAGGTTCCCTTTTGATGTCCACTCAAGCATGGCTAAGCAGCAACCAACTGGCTTAAAAGCCCAGAACTGTGGTATTCAAGCTCCTGGAAAAGCTCTCAGATTTGCCAGAGCTTCAGGGTGGGTTCACACGTTGAGAAATATCTCTTTGGCTGCCAGCCCTTGAAAACCAGGCTCAAAGTGCACTGTGGGGTTTTATGAAAACGGCCAGAGTTTGCCCTTGTGTCATAGTCAGAGAGCTAAGTCCAGTTTTCAGAAAGAAGTTGGGAATGTAGAGTCCTAAGTGCCAAAAAGAGGAAGTTCTGCTTGTGGTCAAAGACTTTGAATTCATTCAGATTGGTACCTTCCCCTGCTTGGCACCTGTGAGGGGGTGGACAAAGAGGAAGCCCCCCTGAATTACAGAGCAACGTTCTGCTGAGTTCACCAGTCACTCACAGCAGGTCAAAATTCACTGCAGGAAACAAGAAGTATTTAAGATGTTAAAGTGCAGCCAGCAACTCCTCTGGAACCCAGTCATTCCTTTTTTTTTTTTTTAGCATAAACATCTTATAACCGTAGGTTTTGTTCCTTCAGTGATTTGAAACAGTTAATTGTCAAAACGTCTGTGGAGAACACAAAGCCAAAAGTGTTTCCACTTCAAAAACTTCACAAACAAAAATCCATAAAATTAACTTCTCCATTAAATTAAGCATTATTTATGTTGAACATGTTTTTGTTTACATGCATTATCACCCTTCTGAAGCCTTCCCATATGTTTGCAGCTTATTATGTACACCTGACTACACAAACTAAGAATAATTGATTACACCTAGCTAACAATTAGAGTTCATCTTAGGGTTTTTTTAATGTTTGGTTACTTGAAACAGGTTTCTGCAGCTGTCAGGAAAGTATAAATCTTTGTCACAGACAATCGAGCAGACAGCTGCAAATGAAGACTTAAAGGTGAAATTAAATTAAAAACAAAGAAAAGAAAAGTGAACTTTTGGAAGAGAAAGAAAAGAAACACAAATGCAGATCTTTAGGAATCAGGGAAAATACTTTAAAAGTTATACTGTACATAAAAGTGACAAAAATATGCAGATATGGAAACGAGCATTAGCACTGACACCATAGTCATAAACACTGTATTTCGTAAGCTGGGAAATATATGGCATCTCTTTATTAATAATTAACGGCTTACTAATTCAATGGTCAATAATAGCTGTTTTAACCTTTGTTTTCTTATCCTGGGGGTTTCATCCCAAAACAGAAGAAAAAAAATTACTCAGGTTTTTGTTACTAACTGAGAAACAAAGTCCATTAACTGGTGCTTCTGCATCTAAATCACACAATTTCAAATCTGTGGAATAATGTATTAATTAGTTTAGGAGGATGCACACTCTTGAAGTGAGGGAATGAGAAAGCAGCACAGAAAATGGATGATGGACAGAATTTAGGCAGCCCTGCTGGAGGAAAAACCAGAATTTGCAAGAGGACTGATTGCTATTTATGATCATTAGGAACAGCTCCAGTGATGCTGCCCAAGATCAGAACAACAATAATCAGCCTTCTGATTAAAATAACTGGCTGGGAGGGTCAAGGAGGATCCTGTTTCTCAAAATGTCTGTGGACAGAGCTGGACAGAGCTACACAATGAGGAGGTTTCCTACATTAGGCAGAGTTCTGATTTCTTTTAAGTGTCATATATTTGATGCCCTGAGTGTCAGGGAGAGCAACAGCTGATGGGTTCTGTGCCTGAGCCATCTATTAATGCATCAGTAAGAGAGAGACAAAAAAACAGGAACTTTTTTTTAAAAAAGGAGATTCTTGGAGGATGGTAGAAGATTAAAAATTTAAAAAAAAAAAGAAAAAGAACAAATACTGAGACATGGAGATGGGGGGAAATTCACATTATTCCATTGCAATCAGTGGAGATGGGCAGCTCTTCCTCAGAATTACTGTAATTATTAAATTAGTTTTCAATTATTAAATATATCATTAAAGTGCTTCTGATGAGTGAGGGAAGAGAATCTCTGTAGAGGTTCTCCTCCCTCTGCTGGTCCCAGAGGCTACTGGAGAGGCCTGGTGGCTAAATTATCAAGGTGGTTGAAGCTGGGTGGTGTGAACCCCTCTCTCCACTTTCCAGCACTGGATTCCAAGTGAATCTTTGGATCAGCTGAAGGTTGGAGATTTTTTTACAGAATTTTACATTTTTTTACAGAATTTAAAAAACAATTCTGGAAGTGCTGAAGAAGCTTCTGACAAACTTTGGAGCTGACACCTCTGGGTCTAAACAGTTAATTTCTGACATCCATGATACAGGTCCATATTAAAATCAGTCCATGGCATGAGACTCCACTTGGGTGAAGTATCAAAACACAACCCCTCCTGTGAGAAACTACACTCACAGAGAGGTACTTCCCTCAGGATTAGTGAGCAGGGGAATGCAAACACGTCTTTCTAAAGAAAACAAAACACAAACCCTTAAGATACTTTCTCCTCCAAGCTCTGAAAGGGAAGAAAGGGTGGAAGACAAGAGGGTTTTAGGGTCAGGAAACTGGGGAGACTAAAGGTTTAAAGAAACCAACTGCCTTCATTTCACACAAAGCACTCAGCAGAACACTTTAAGTACATGCTCCGTGTTCGTGTCCATTCGTTAAATTAGTGAGAGTTAAACACACAGTCACATTAAATATAGATTGCTAGATGTTAAATTCATCAAAAAACAACCTTAAGCTTTTACTGGACAAGTTCATGTGATTATATTATCTCTGTTACAAAGGTAATTTAACAATTTTCTAGGAATACAAGAAATCTCTTGTGGCTTTTATATCACCTCTGCTGATATCTGGAAAACATACATGCAAAACTATTTCTTTTTGACCTGCTCATGTTGCCAGATTATACTACAGGTAAACAACTCACCCATGCTGTCCAAAGAACAGGCAGCATTGGGGTTTGTGAGGCAGAAGGTTCACCAAGTCAGCATGGGGAGGACAAACAGAGATTCTGGGTACTTGTTAAAGTGATAAAAAATAAGATCCTAATCCTGCATTTCTCTTCAAGCAGGCCCCATGCTTTCAATATAGTAGTTTTACCACTGGCAGATTAGACAGATGCACAGGTAAATGAGCCCCTGCTTATTTATAAAGCTCGTTAAGGCTTTATGTGTTAAGGTTTTAGTTTTCAAGCCATTGTTTAATTCCCTACCATTGAGCACAGGTATCATAGACAATCACGAGCTGAAGTCCTGGTGCTGCTGAAATCAGTATGAATGTTACTTTTGACTTCTGCCAGTCAGGACTGCACTCTGTTTCTAAGGAGAGCCAACAGTTACTGCACAATCATCCCAAACACACAGCTAAGAGCACTCGTAGTTTCTTACCGAGAGGTGGTCCATGTGTTATAAGAATATCTATTCCATCTGGAATAAGGTTCCATTTCTCTAATAGTGCTTGGCCTCGTGGAAGATTAAAGCCCCAGCCATAAAACCAAGGTTGCCTGCCAAGAGAGGAGGAGAATGTCTTCAGTGCTACTTCCATGTACTGGTTATCTAATTAAAACACAGATTGCCTTTCCACTAGCGTGGAATTTGAAGACACAAACAGCATTCATTTTCTTCTTTGTGTGCACAGCAAACCCCTCTTTCCATACCACCAGCATTATTTAGCTTGGATGGTAAACCAGTGCAGTCCTTACCACTTTCAGCAGACAGTAAAACATTCACAGTATTCCTCTGACTACTTACAAGACCTGGATACCAAGATCTCCACGTGTGGATCATCCTGCTGACTCCCACAACATTTAGAACACCTGCCTCAAGACACCTACATGTGAATATGTCTCACATTGGCTCCCATAGCATTTGGCCCTTATCCTGTGACCAGCTGGGCAAGGACAGCCCCTGGCACAGTGACAGATCCCTCTCCAAAGTCAGAGACATCCTCTGTGCTGCTTTGTTTCCCTAATTGGATGCATCCCATCAGAACAAGAATGCTGCTGCTCCTCTCACACATAAATTTCTTCTGTCCTCTAGTGTGTTGACTTGCTTTTAAGTAAGACTTTCCATATTCAGGATTTCTTATCAGACAGGCATTTACATTTTTTAAACCATATTTATGGAGCAGCTCATCGTGGAGCAGCGGGACTGTAACACTGCCAGTCAGAACACAATTTATCCACATCTTGCTATCCCATTGATTAAAAAAACTGTATTTCACACCAATTATATCACAATGTCAAATTATGTCTTGCTGACTAGGCTCCCATTCTAGGTCATAAAATTGAGGGGTTAGTTTTAGGTTGGAGATTTTATAATCTTTTGACAGATATCTTCTGGCCATGCCAATATTTGAAGAACAATGAACAGGCTGCTTTTCTTCCACAGACAAAAAGAGCCTCAACTACTGATGACTGAAAGGCTTTTTGTGTCCACAGCTCATCTAGCTCTTCATCACATGCCCTGGATAACCAAGGTCTGGAGAAAGAGCTGTCCAAGGAAAAAAAAAAAAGTGAAACCTTGTACATCTGCCACTGGGACCAGAAATATATCCCAGCCTCCAGAAGCTGTGAGGAGGGAGGGAGGTGAAGAAGGTGTGTGAAGAAGAGATGTTAACAGCACTAGCAGTGAAGCAGAAATCTTGTTCTGAGTCATGCTGCTCAGACCAAGGCACCTGCCTAAGAAAAAGACACATCAGGGCTACAAAATCCCACTTTTCTGGTTACCTGTTCAGCTCCTGGCAGCCTTTCCTCAGAGGAGGAACAGCACCTGGCTCACAGGCACGTGACTTCTCACCTTCCTGCTGCTGGCTGGTCTGGACAGGAGGCTCAGGGGAGACCTTATCCCTCTAAAATTTCCTGAGAGGTTGTAACCAGGTGGGTATCAGCCTCTTCTCCCAGATAACAATAGACAGGACAAGAGGAAACGGCCTCAAGTTGTGTCAGGGGAGGTTTAGATTGGGTATTAGGGAAAAATTCTTCACTGATGGGTCAAGCCCTGGAACAGGCAGTGGCTGAGGTACCATCCCTGGAGTTATTTAAAAGCTGTGTAGATGTGGCACTTGGGGACATGGTTTACCAATGTTAGGTTTATGGCTCAGTTCTCTTAAAGGTCTTTTCCGACCTAAACAATCCTGGGATTCCAGTACCTGGCTCACTCTGCAGTGACACTGTCACACAGAGCCAAACCCTGGCCTGTGGAGCTTGAACAGCCCCTCTGTACACCCAGCTCACCACTGACAGGACAGGAATATTTCTGTCACACAGGAATGCCCTGGGAATAAATAAACTGAAGTTTGTGGGGTGCTTGGGTATTACAGAAGTGGGAGGCTTTATAAAAATACACAGTAGTCAGGCTTTCTCTAAACTCTCCACCCTCTCCTGCCTTGGGATTGCATTCCACACCTTACACGCCAAGGATCTTTCTTCACCCAGATGAAAACACTCCACTGTTTGGCAAATCGTCTCTAGGCCCAGAGCACGTTTTCCAGGAGCAAAATCTCACGGACAGAAAATATTTGCAAGGGCAAACAGGAGGCCAAAGGAGTGTCAGCACAGTAAATTATGTTTTTAAAGCCACTGACAGTGGATACACGTCCCTGCTCCCACCCATTGCTCGCCCTGGTGCTGCTGGGCATGGGTAGATTTATTAGATGAGGAGAGATCAGATAGGTTAGATTAGGTAGATTAGATAAATTGGTAAGAGAAGGGTGCTAATAATGCCAAGGTGGTGGGTTCAATCCCTGTGTGGGCCAGTCACTTAAGAGTTGGACCCCCCTTGTGGGTCCTTTCCAACTTAGAATAGTCTGTGACTCTGTGACAGGATCGTCCCCCAGCAGAACCAGCCCCGAGAAACAAAACGAGGGAAAAGACAGACTTTTCCCAAGAAGAAAAGGTCAAACCCCCCCAGAATAATTATTTGAAGAACACAAGGAAGATTTCTAAAGAGAAACCACCACGACTGTCACACAGGTCTCGCCACGAGTCAGCTCAACCCCGCTGAAACCCGACCGACCACGAATGGCAGCCACAGCTGGGGGAGGCTCTGCTTCCTCCACCAGGGCCACGCCACGGGGCCACTCTGTGAAAAGCCCATTTCCCCTTATGAATAGGCATGATGTGCTTATTAAGACAAGCAGCACTTTCCCCCGTGCCTCCCTCCCTCGCTCCCTTTGTGGTGCCTGCAGCCGAGCGCGGGGCTGGTAAGTTATTCATGCTGGAGCTGTTCTTTTGTGAGGGGGAGATGTTACAACTTGTGTGATTTGCCATTATGCTGTCTTTTTGTGACAATCACGAGATGGGAAAGAAATGTCTGGAATATTTCTGGCAAAAAAATACACCCCAAGTCCAAGAAAGGATTGAGCGGAGGATGCTGGCATGCTTCACAGCTGAGAGAAGAAAGACAAATCACACACTTCAGTGCCCCCAAAGCAAAACCATCTTTATAAGCACGCAGGGATTTTATAAATCCCCAAGTCCCTTCTTCTGAAAATTTATTGCGAAACAGCCATCAAAGTTTCTGAGCAGGGAAAAAAAAAACCCCAATCTTCTCTAATACCCACTAACAAGTCTGTGACCTGGATATCACACGAAGACAACTTGGTCTAGAATTTCCATTTCTGATGGAACCTGAGAGCAAAGTTAAATTCTTCATGTCAAGCACTGAATTTCTGCATTCCCGCTTAGTGCTTACTCAGGAAAAGTAAAATATTTTCATAATTTATGTTTCAATAGTATCTTACATTTGACAAAGAAAATACTGTCATGTATGTTCTATAAGAGAAAAATCCGTTGTTTTCAAAAAAAAGAAAAACAAACCACCAAGAAAATTTATTTGGCAATTTAAGACATACATCATTAATGTCTCTCACCTCTGAAGTGAAGCACTCCTGTAGAAATGTACTTTGATTTAGGTCTTACATTCTTAAAGCAAACAGCTTGAGTGTCTCCACACACTACTGAAATTCAATAGTATTATTATTTTTATAAGAATAATGCTTGTCTACATATAAGACTCTGGAGGGAAATACATCAGAAGTGAATTTGTTTACAGCACAATTAACCTTATGTTAAAAACATATGAACAAGTTTTTTCAGGTAAAATAATCTACCACACAAAAAGGGCTGAATTATCCGAGTTTGTGGGAGCAATCGGATGTTGCTTTATGTACTGAATTTCTATCTTTCTGTTCTAAAGTAACCATTGGAATAATTTTCTTACAGAATGATAGTTGCTATGACAACCATAGCAAATTTTCCTTTTCTGAAACAGATGTCTCATTTAGTTGAAAATTAGAATGTGAAAAACCCATGGGAAAAATTAATTCAAACTTTAACAGAACACTGACTACAATGTAATCTCTTATAGGTTAACCCCTTAACATCTCTCTGCACTCTTCTAGTAACCTTCTCATAAATTCTAATTAAACCAGCTTAACCTCCTAGAAATGACCTTCTTAGCTATCATTAGCACTTTAGTTGTCTTTGAAAGGATCACTTCTGTTACAATAGTAACAGAAAAAAGTCACACTAAAAAAATAATGGTCAAACATATTACCACTTTAATTACTTATTAGGTTCTTTTTTTTCTTTTATTCAGCTACTACTGGAAAGAGCCAACACGCAGTCCAAGAATTCTTTTGTCATTTAAATGGGACATAACTTGGTTTCACATGTGATCTGCCATAAAGGGTGATGCACCACACAGATCTCACCTGTCATTTACCTGAAAACTGAAGGTTTTCCATTCTCAAAGCACCTCAATCTGCTCAGCAGAGACACACACACAAAAAAAGGATACTTGATGGGGGGAACTATCAACGTACATGGATTTTTCTATTACAAGCAACGAGAGACTGAAATTTGATTCTCCATTACCTTGATTAGTAGCAAAAAATGCAGGATTAAGCCACAATGTGCAGATCACTGTACATCCTAATTTCTACAGTTTCCTACATTCTTCTTACTGTTAGAACTAGCTACACTCCTGTGAACATGGGTATACAGCCCTATATACAATATATACCTTCCTTATCTGCCTGCTGTTCACATTCTTCAGGTGTTCATATTTTACATTCCCTATCATGTGAATTTAGCTGAATTTACTCATTTTTGCCTTTTTAGCCTTTCCTCAGTAAGTAACTAACTAGTTTACTGAGTTGCTTTTTTCCTCTACTTTCTCTCCAAGTAAGGATTCACAAAACCTTTTTTTCCCCCTTTTTTTTCAGTGGGTTATTGGTCATTTCAACATCTAAAGTAGTTGTGAAATAACACTCATCTTTCTGTCTTTTCTTCCTGGCACAAGAGGACCATCCAAAGCAGGCAGGAACAAAAGCAGCTCTCAGGTCACAGGTGCTAAGAATAATTAGGAGGGCATTGTTTGCTTATGGGCTTTGAAATATTATTCAACATCTTGGCATGTGAGCCAACGGCACAACTGAGGCCTAAAGGAAAACAGGTTTCAGAGGTTTTGAGGAGCATGAGGAGATTTATATTAAGATTAA